CAAAAGTCCCTGTCCTGGCCCCTGGAGAGAACCTGACACTCAAGTGTTCCTCTGAGATAAGTTATGACAGATTTGCTCTGTTCAAAGAGGGAGGAAGTGACCTCACTGAAGTTTATGTTCATCAGCCCCAGGCTGGACATTTTCAAGCCACCTTCACCTTAGCCTCAGTGAATTTCTCCATTGGTGGTCGATACAGATGCCTTGGTGCACAGAGCTTCTCTTCTGAGTGGTCAGCCCCCAGTGACCCTCTAGACATCATGATCACAGGTGAGCAATGTAGTGCATTTAGTATGGACCCATCTTGGCACAGACTCAGCTGGGTGGAGACCTGGGATTCATCAAGATGATGGTGAGCATATCAGGGATGAATAGGTCGAAGAACAAGACAGTGGAGAAAGGACTGTCTTTTAGAATATAGAGACTAGATTCTGAAAGATTGGTGGGGGCTTAAAGCAATGACTGTAGTCCTACAGTCACTTTATTTTTTTTTTGTCTTTAGGATACCTCCCTGTCACACCCAATATCTCAGTGCTTGCAGGCACTACTGTGTCCTCAGGAGAGAATGTGACCCTGCTGTGTCAATCATCAGACCCAGTGGACACATTCTTTCTGTTCAAGGAAGGTGCAGACCACCCCTACATGCAACAAAGAGCAAAGTCTCAATATCTACAATATGAGGCAGAATTCTTCATGAGTGCTGTGACCTCAGCCGTTGGGGGTTCTTACATATGCTTTGGTTCTAACAGCTCATCCCCTTACCTGTTGTCATACTCTAGTGTCTCCATCGAGATCATAGTCTCAGGTGAGATGATCCTGACTTTTGTTAGCTCAGAGGGTTACTCAGGATAATTGACCTCGGAAACTTGTGGCTGGGATAGGAGTAAGTTTATCAAAGGGAGGGTTATGAAAAGAGGGTCTCCTATGTGGAGATTTAGAAGTGAACTGAGATTTCTCAATGACCATCTCACTCTCTTCTTGGGAACCTAGGAGATTCCAGGTAGGAAGCTGGGAGGTTCTGAAGATGCTGCAGTGTAGACATAAGACTGAGAAGATATGATATAGTTAGTGTAGGCTTCCACACATCATTCCCCCAACAAATTTCCCACAGTCTCCTAGAGTCCAAATATCCATTTCTATAGAGGTTTTAGATTTTTTTAATCTAGAAAAGTTGTTTCACCCTGAGTGTGTGCAGATTCTCTGTCCCTATGAGTCTACATTCCTTTATCAGCTTGGCTGATGACTAAGCTACTAGATGTGAAGCAGAGACCCCAACATGGTCTCCAGAAACCCAAAGGCTCAGAAGCTAGGTTGCAATGAGGCATCCTGATGAAGAGTGGTCCTGTTGATCTGTCCTGGGCTGAAGCACATAAAATGAGAGGAGGTGTCAGTTGCCCTGAGTTTCACCCTCCAAGTGTGTCAGGCCATGAAAAACAGCTCTTCATCCCTGTTGTATCTGACAGCAGAGGTCTAAGCAAGAACTCTATCGCAGGGTGGGTCCAGCAGGGACAAAGCTAGTTATGTGCTTGGTACATTCTTGTCTGGAGAGGTTGACATGCACTACCCTCTGTCTTGTGCGGTTCTTAGTTTCTACACATGTAAATGGAGAAGCCCTGGCAAAGACATTAAGTTCCTTTTAATGATGATCTCATCTGTTTCACATACATATAGAGAAAGATTCTAGAACTCTGTTCCACAGTGGTTCTGCCCCATCTAAAACTGTGTTGAAGACATTGTGTTGGGGTGTGGTACAGGGCTAGGATAGGACATTCAGGATCTTTCCTTCCTGTTCATGAGGTTTAGCTCCAGTGTACAGAACAAAGTGGGAGGACAGATATCCTGGACTCAGTCTTCAGCTATGCATCATTCTTCAGGCTGATCTAGGGAAGGAAAACTGACTGAAAGTATTCAGAGATGGTCATGTGTTGCATGCCTGTGAGAATGAGATACAGCAAATACAAAGACCCAGCATGGGGTATTCACACAGTAGGTTCTCTCTCTCTCTCTCTCTCTCTCTCTCTCTCTCTCTCTCTCTCTCTATTGTTCATTCATACAATGCATCCCAATCTCAGCTTCCCCTCCCTTCACTCATTCAAGTCCCCCACACACATCCACTCTGCTTCAGATTCACTACCCCTGACCCAGAAAAGAGCAGGCCACTGAGGGGCATCATTTGAACATGACACAATATGGTACCGTAATATCAGGCAAAGACAGTCACATCAAGGTTGGGTGAGGTCACCCAACAGAAAGAAGAGCATCCTAAAGGCAGGCAAATGTGTCAGATACACCTTCATCACTACTGTTGGAAGTCCCCCACAAAACACCAAACCAACAACCATAATATAGATGCAGAGGACCTAGTGCAACTCCGTGCAGTCTCCGATTGCTTCTTTATTCTCACACAGTAGATTCTCATTTACAGTTCCTCATTCATGATGTCCCTTGTCCCCTAGGACTGGTAAGCTATCAAAAGACCGTGATCGGAGTTTCTGTGGCCTTCTTCCTACTGTTCTTCCTCCTCACCATCTCCCTTCTTCTCACACTCAGGCATCAGAAGAAAAACAGAAAGGGAGGTGAGTAGGGTGTGGGAAGCCTGGGTCTCAGTGGGGAGTGGATCCCACTCTGGGCTATCTAAGCAGGGGCTCAGGGCACCATCCTCAGTGAAAGCCCAGACTGGGAAAGCTTAGACCAGCTTAGAAATACATCTGCACAATCTGAACACAAAATGTTCTCTGGAAACATGTGTAATGTCCTGTATTGTATAGACTTTTTCAACTCCTGAAAGATTTTTAACATATGTGCAATGAGTTGCAAAGGTGCCTTCTAGTCCTCACGGTGCTAGGAAAGGGGCTCCACAGCCCCTTGGCTGAGGCTCCTTCCTCTCTTGCAGTTCAGGCAAAGACTGACTTGCAGCCTCCTGCAGATTCAGTAAACAGGGACAGAAGACTCCAGAACAGGTAACTCATGCCCAGGACCATAGACCACATCTGCCCAACTTCCTTCACTGACATTTGTCTTCTTGTTTCTTCCAGCTCCAGCCCAGCTCCTGCCACCCAGGAAGAAATACTGTGTGAGAAAATGAGGGCCCAGGAGGGAGATGTCTGACATTATAGCATAACAGGGCTGGTGGAGGGTCTGGGATACTGAACTCCCTCTATGTACCCTCACCCCACTACAAATTATCTTTCCATATCTGGGATATCGTAGGGGTCTGGGGAATTGAGATGTCCTGGGAATCTGGCCGGGGGAAGACCTGCATGTTTTGTTATGACAGATGCTACTGTGAAGGTCACAAAGCCTGCAGACAGCATGGAGCTGGATGTCCTGGTGAGACTCTTGATTATCCACAATGCTAAGAACTTATGATCCAATATAATGCCAAAGCAATCTCTGTTCTCCCCCTTTTCAGACCTTCGTATCATCCATAGCTGGCTCCTTGTTTCTTAAAGCACCTATATTGTGTATGCTATGATCTCATTCTTTCTTTGTTTACTTTTGACAATATGGCCCCAACTTTCTGACTTCTCAAACTCTGTCTGATTTCTAGAGTGATTTTAAGGGCTCAGAAGAGAATATGAGGGTCATAAGTTGTAGCTGAATGGTAAAGTGATTAATTTAGATGTCTAAGGCCTTGGGTTTAAACGCCAGTGATAAAACTAACAAGTAAATGAACAGGCAACACACGTAAGTGAGAATCATGTGCCTGAGAATGTGTGCACATGTGCTTAAGCACAAGCAGAAGACAGGGGTCAACATCCAATGTCTTCTTCTATTTTTCCCCAACTCATTTTCTCTGATAGGCTCTTTTCATTTCCATGGTGCTTTTTATTTGGGTGGATTGGTGCTACTGAGCACTGTGTATCAGTTGCTCCCTCAACATCACTTAGGCCCCAGGAATGTGAATTCTTGCTCAGCCTTCTTTTATGTGGCCACAATGGATCAAACTCAGGTGCTCATGTTTGCATAGCAACCACTCTGCTGCTTGACTCCTCTCCCCAGCTCCCATGTCTCCCTCTTGACCATGCTTCTGTAAGGGCTGCATTTATAGTCAGGGACAGAACTCTCTACCCATTGTGCCAGCTCAGATGGGAAATGATATTGAGATAAACAGAGTCTGAGCAATGCAAAGTGTATGAGGGAAATATATTAGAGGATGTGGGCTGAGTTATGTGAGGCAGAGATGATCAGTGTGAATTTAAAGGGAACTTGAAAGAAGCCTTCTGTGGAGAAGCCTGGGTAGAGTTTCATACAAACCTGTGATGACATGGCACATCTAAGTATGGAGCATGGTAGTGTCCTTGGCGTAGGGACATTCTCTTTCCAAAAGAGGGATGCAGTGGAGAGTACATCAGTGTGTCAGAATAATATTTCAGAAGCACAGAGAAGTAAATGGCAGGCACTCAAAGTCCCTAGAAAGTCCCAGAAGACCCCATCAGCAACAGTTTAGTTTGATAAAAATGTCTGAAGTATCATTCTTGTTCCCTGTGGAAGAATGGGTGGAGAGCCTCTGGGAAACCAGGCCAACTCCCTTTGTTACATTGTCTCTCTGCTGCAGAGCCAACATGAGGAAGTCCCCTCCAAAGACTTGTATGCCCAGGTGAAGCCCTCGAGACTCAGAAGGACAGAGATCACCTCTTCTTCTCTCATGGCAAAGGAATTATTGGCCTCAAATGACACACAGTCAAAAGCAAATCAAGTGATAGATGAGCAGGTGGGTCCTGACTTCTCTAGTGCCCCATGCTCCCGGTGCCCAACATAGACCTTCTTCTACACTTTCCCACTGCAGGCTGCTACAACAGAGGAGCCACATGATGTGACCTATGCCCAGCTGTGCATTGTGACCCCAAGACAGGGACATGTGAACCTCCCACCTTCCAGGCAGAAAAGTCCAACCTGAGAACATACTCTGGCCTCTACCGATCCAGGGAGATCACACTCTGCATTCTGTGGGAGAGGGAGGATTCAGGGATGCCAGAAAACAAGATCTGTCTCAGGTGTATAGTCATAGCACAGACATGACCAGTCTTTAGGAAATCCTGAGAAATTTGAGGACTCTGATTTTGTTGTCCCTGCATTTTATAAAAAAGGCAAATGCTTTGTTAGTGACCAATGCATAAAATGAGGAGAGAAGAAAGGAATGAAGAAAGTTTCATTTTTTGTGTTGTCTTTTAATTTTCATTTTTGAGATTCCATTATAATTACCGCATTTTTCTCTTCCCTTCCTTCCTTCCAGACATTTCCATAGATCCTTCTAATTCAGGACCTCTTTTTTCATTTAACACATGTACATATGAAGATGCATGTAGAACATTTTAAGCATTTTTACCCTGAATATATACCTTCTGTCAAATATATCTCAATAAAACTGAAATTTGAATGATGAAGTCACATTAATATAATGTAGCATGAACCAGAATAATTCAGAATTGATCTGAACAAGCATGAATAAGGGTCCTGAAAATTGAGGAGTTGAGTGGGAAGATCTAGTCTAAGTTGCTTAAAATGCTCTACCTATTTACTTAGATAATATTATATATCATTCTGAGGTCTTTGATGCAGTTGACGACTAGATAGCTATAATTATTTTCCTTGGTTATGATAAAAGATAAATTAGACATAAACCTTTAGACTAACAAATATAGGATAGATAGAATATTTTCTTTAATTTTGCCAAATACAAATAGACTAGATATTGTTACTATAATTCTTGCTTGATAATTGTTTTGTTATATGTAATTTTACTATGTTAAAGTTAAAATCTTCCTTTTTGAAAAAAAAGAAAGGGGTTAATGCTGTGGATATCAGTCCGTATGCTGTGAATGTGTTACTCTGATTGGCTGATAAATAAAATGCTGATTGGCCAGTAGCCAGGCAGGAAGTATAGTCAGGATAAGCAAACAAGGAAAATTGTGGGAAGAGGAAGACTGAGTCAGGAGATGCCAGTGAGCCACCTAAGGAGCACCATGTAATGATACACTGGTAAAGCCATGGAACATGTGGCAACATATAGATTAACCAAAATGGGTTAGTTTAAATGTAAGAGCTTGTCAGTGGTAAGCTTGAGCTAATGAACGAACAGTTTTAATTAATATAAGCTTCTTCTAAATGATTATTTTACAAGTGGCTGCAGGGTCTGTGGGGCTGGGCAGGATCAAAAAAACCTCTAGCTACACTAGTCTAAGAAATAAAGAAGAGAAAATCAATAGTTAGATGAGAGATGTTGCAAAAGTTATGCCTTACACCACACAAGTCTATTAAGAAACTCACTATCTCATATACTATTAGCAGTAGGGAAAGGGACAAGGTTAGCAGAGAGACAAATCAATTTTATGAAAGAAAGCGTGGGGAACATCAACCAGATCCTCTAGGATAAGAACCAAGCACAGGAGGCAGAGTCCTGTCCACAGACCTGCAACCTCATCTCCTAGGAGGCAATGGCCCCAGTGTCAGACTGGCTTCATGTCTAATCTTGGATGAGGACACTGGACTATGGTTCCATTTGTTCTTTCATCGGGGGCTCCTAGAAAGTCTTGGGTTGTTATGGCTTCCTGGACCAAATCATTAATAAACATATAAAATACCTTTCTAAGTCAATGACCTCATTTTCATATTGAGAATACAGAAAGAAAGCAGTAGCATGTTCTATATTAGGAATAGGGATGGACAAGATCATGATGGGGAAACCTATAGAGATGACCAAACCAAACTAGTGGGAACTCATGAACTTTAGACCAACAGCTGTGGAGTCTCCATGGGACTGGATTAGCCCTCTACATTAACAAGACATTTGTGTAGCTTGACCTGCTTAAGGAGCCCCCTGGCAGTAGGATCAAGATCCATCCCTGGTACACGAGCTGGCTTTTTGGAGCCCAGTACCTATGGTGGGACACCTTGTAAGCCTTGGTGCAGGGGGAGGGGTTCGAACCTGCCTCTATTGAATGGACCAGGCTCTTCTGACTCCACATGGAGGCCCTACCTCGTTGTAGGAGAGGATGGGAGTTGGCTTGGGTGGAAAGCTGGGGGACAGGAGTAGGTAAGTGTAGTGGGTAGCTATTCCAGCTTGGATCTGGAAGTTCCAACCCCCATTGGGACTCTGGCAACTGTCACACCTATGAGGCGGGGCCAAGGGAGGCATCTGGAGACCCGAGACCTGGATGGGCAAGTGCTCTCCTCTCTCGGTTCCTGGACCCTGGACGGTGGAGGTTGACTGAGCAGAGCTCCAGAGAACACCGCTGAACTGCGATACACCTTCCCCAGACCCCCGCAACTTATCTATTCCTTCATTTGTAAGTCACCCACTAAATAAATCTTCCTTTTAACTACGTGGAGTGGCCTTTATAATTTCTCCAATAGGGAAGAGAGGGGAATCTTTGGTTGGTATGTAAAATGGATAAAACATTTCTTGATAAAGTAAAAAAAAAAGAAAGTAGAAAATGGAATACTTGGGAAAAGAAGGTGGTGGGGGGACCAGCAAGAGGAGGAAGATGGTACAAGAGAAGGACTGGAAGGTTAAATGTCATCAGTGCAGTGAAACTTAGAATTGAGTACAATTTATGCATGTCAATAAAGACGGGAAAAACAGTGCCCTCCGAACTACAAAACAAATCAAATCAAACAAACAAAAAAAGGGAATATGGGTAGAAATGATATAGGAAGAAGTTATAAGGTAAGAACACAGGCAGTCCCTGCTAAGCAGAATATAGAAGCAGGTGAAACACTCATTTTAGGCCTCCCTGGGCTACACAGTGTTTTCAATGCCAGCACAAGAATGACATGCTGGCATGGACTGTATGACTTAGATAATCCTTTTGTAGCTGTGTTGTATGCTTATCTTTAAAAATTAATGTGTTTTTGTCAATATCTTACAATCTTCAACTTGTATATAATGCATTTTACCTATGCTCTCCCCACATCAATTTTTATATACCTTCCACTTCCTTAAAAATCCACCCCTTTTCAATGATTAAAGAAACTGCTCCATTTTGTGCTGGGCATCCATCTTAGTACTCCCTAGCTGTTTGTCTCTGACTCCAGTCCCTCCCTGCAAGATAATGTCCCAGTAGGCCTGACTCAGTAACCTCCAACCCAGAAATGTATAGTGTGGCCATCTATGTCTTATGATATTGCTAACTTCTTTTTGGCTTCTGTTACCTGCTTATGTAGATAGTCAAGGACCATTTTGAAGTTGCTTTGATTATTTAATTTTGGCAGAACAAAATGGCTCTGGCTAGCTTGTGCAGAAACCAATGTTCATTCTACTTGTGTTTTTTCCCTTAAAATCCTCCCCTTATCCTCTTTTTCATGGCAATCTGTAGGTTGGCTCAGAGATCATTGTTCTGCTAGCAGTAATCACTAAACTTCTTAATTATAACTGGATTGTCAATGGACTTTCCCAGAGGTGAGGAACTACATAACACCCTCTCTTCCCATCACTTTTCCATATTCATGTCTTTGGGATGAGATGTGTGACTCATTTAATCACAGTCATATGTGTGACAGTTGGGTTGGAACTGTGACCTTGGGTGAGCAGTAGGTGCTCAATAGAGGAAATGACTCTTTCCTTCTATGGATCTATAACTAGGAAGCAGTTTATCAGTGAGGGATAATGGTCCTCTGTAAACCATCTCTTTTCATTCCTGGCTGTTCATCTTTTGCACTCATCAGCTTGTTGAGAGGTTTTAATTCTTTTTTTTTGTAATGGCTGTGCATTACTCAGCAGATGACATTTCAGCCCAGCGGTAGTGGCGCATGCCTTTAATCCTAGCACTTGAGAGGCAAAGGCAGGAGGATGAGGGAAGGCCATCACAGGTTGGAGGCCAGCCTGAGCCACTAAGTGAGTTTCAGGACAGCCAGGACTGTTACATGGAGGGTCAGAGCTTAATTTGCATGAAGTTATGTACTTAAGTTCCATCTGACCTAGGTGGTGTCTCCATCTGGAATTTACCTTAATTCAGGAGACTAGCATGTGGTGGTCTGCAATGTTATTTGTCTGTCCTTGGATGTAGCTAAGGGAGAGATCTGATTCCAGTGCTAAAAAGAGAGAAACAGATGGGCCTGAGGGATGGAAGCCTTTCCTGAGGCTGTTCTCCAAATACCTCAAATGTATATGTCCAAAGAGTGATCAGTCCACTGTTAGCAATTTGTAGGGAAAAAGTCAATTGGGAAAACTATGAAGGCACACATGATATTCACAACAGAAGACAGTTAATATATAAAAGTCACATAGCACCAAATGCTCCCTGAAATTTGGATTCCTCTGAGGGAATTCCTTGATCTCTTCAGGAGGTGGCCTTGCCATAACCAGCTGAGTTCTTACATTATATTCCTGTGGCCCATAGCAATTTACACCTGTTTCCCTGGAAGAATCAGATTCATGAGAGTCAGAGGTCCTGTATTTCTTCACAGGCAAGAGAGGTGTATTTCAGAGTGAGTTGCCTGGCACCAGGATTCCTGTCTCTCCAAGACTAGCAGTAAGGAATGCAAGTTCCCTTTTTTCCAAGGTCATTGGGTAGTTTTTAATCTTGACAGGGGTAGTTGCACTTTTTAATTGAGCGATTACAGGTTCTTAGTGTTGGGCCAGTCCTGGGGGGTTGTTTTTTTCTAATATCCCTGGGAATCTTCGTTTTCAAGCTGTGAGGTAGTTCACCTGTATCTTTTGATTGGAGACAGAACTTTCAGCTAGAAGATATTCTTCTGACCAAGGGTAAGAGACTAAAATTTTGTTTACTATTTGTTAATGTACCTATCTCATTATCAAATAAGGTGACAGTTGCTATCTATTCTATTTCCATTTCCAAAGAAGGTCTTTCTGTTTCCTCTAGTTCATTACTACCTACTGTAGTTCTATAGACTTTGCTTTGTAACCATTGACTTCATAGCTAATATTGTCATCTAAGCAAATACATATCATGTTCATCTTGCTGATTCAGGCATACAGCAAACAGAAAGATTTTTTTCTAGTTCATCCACTTGCCTGCAAATTTCATGTTGTATTTTTTTATTTATTTTTTTTTCATTTTACATACCAATCCCAGTTCCCCTTACCTCCTATTTTCTACCTCCCCTCCTCCCCTCATCCCATTCACTTCTGGGGGGGGTAAGGCCCCCCTTGAGGAGTCAACAAGTCTGGCATATCAAGTTGAGGTAGGACCAAGCACCTCCCACCCCACCTGGCATCAAGGCTGAGAAAAGTATTCCACCATAGGGAATGGGCTCCAAAAAGCCAGTTCATGCACCCGGGATAAGTCATGGTCTCACTGCCATGGGCTCCACTGTCAGATCAAGCCCCACAACCATCACCCACATTCAGAGGACCTAGTTCTGTTCCATGCAGGTTCCCCAGCTGTCTTTACAGAGTCCATGAGCTCCCACTAGCTTGGATCATCTGATTCTATGGTTTTCCCCATCATAATCTTGACC